GGCTATTTTTTAACATTTCTATTAATTTATGATAATTTTTGGCATAATGTATTTAGGATTATATTATTTGATAATTTCAAGTAATTATCATCCTAAAGTCTACTAATTTGTGATAATTTTTTTGATTTATTTTTAGTAATTTTTATAAATATTGGTAATTTATGTCTAATAATGGCAATTTCTTTTAATTTATATTTTATAATTTTTATAATTATTTGACAATTTTAGGTATAACAATTATCAAATTTCAAAAAAAAAAAATTCAAATAGCAATATTTTTAACTTACAATATGTAACAATCGTCAAAGCACAAAATCTATAAATGCAAACCAAAGCGATTCAAGTTTCAAAGTATCGACACGTATTGGCCCGTATTGGCCGATACATATCGTTACGGTGGCTTCCCGATACGCCCCTATAGGGGTTGTATCGGGTCAGCCACTGGTTCACAGGGTAGCCAGGCCTTAAACCGGCCCCTTTGAACCGACACAGGGCGTATCGGCTCGTATCGCTATTTAAAACCTTGAAGCAATTCATTAAGCTAAATGCAAATAGCATTTTTAACTAACAGTGTAACAATCTTCAAAGCACAACACCCAAAAATTTAAACCAAAGAAATTCAATAAGCAAAAAGACAAACATTATTTTTGCTGATTTTTGTAACATTATTTATTAAATATTTAATTATTTAACAGCATTTATCAATAATAGTAAGTATTTATAATATTTTATTAAATAATCAGAAATGATAGTTTTAATAATATTATTTAGTTATTTTTAATATAACAGTAATTATTAAATTTATGAATAGGATTTATTAACAATATTCATTAAATCAATAATTACCAAAATTAAATTAAATTAACAGTATTTATCAGTAATAGTCAGTAATTATAATATTTTATTAAATAATTAATAACAATACTTTTAATTATTTTTAACATAACAATAATTACTAAATTTATTAACAGTATTTATAATTTTAATTTAAAGTAAAATTGAAGTGAATATCTATTTATTAACAAAATTTATAATAAAAGTAATTATTAATTATAATCATTAGTTATATATTTATTAAATTATCGTAATAATCAGTAATTATTAAAATCAAGTTAAAATAAATAGATAACAGTATTTATCAAAACTGGTTTGATAAATAAAATCGGATTTGGTATTTATAGTCAGCAATAGTTAGTATCATTAAGGCTCGATTTGGTTTATGGAAAGATTTGAGTGGGATAGGATGGGAAAATGTAAAAGGGGGCGGCACTGTTCCACCTTCCTCTACCCCCTTCATTCTCATCATCCAAATGTCGCAGAAGCTTAATCTCACGAAGTGTACGTTTGGCATCCATGTGGTTGTCTTCTTGATGGCCACCATTTCGTTGGTCTCCGAATTCATTACCGAGCTAGAATCACACAACGGAGGATGAGCCAATAGGAAGATGACTAAAAAAGTTCTCTCCGGTTCCGACAAAAAAGTCACAAGTTACACAAATAACAGATTTGGAGTGGGGGTGGGCGGGTGGATTTTCTTTTCTGCTTTCCATATCAAGAAGAGGAGAAAGTGATCACCAGACAATTCCGTAAGCGCCTCGTCTGATGGGCATTATCGGGGACCGAAGATGTTGTATTGGATGAAGCGGCCATCATGCGTCCGAATGGCCGGAAAATCCGAAGGGTTACCATCGTTCATGTTCTGAGGACCATTAGACATCCCCGAATCAGCAGCAACAGCTCCTTGCATTTCTTGGGCGTTTCTTCTTCTTCTTCTTCTCTTTCAACCTCTCTTTATTCCCGATTGCCACTAAAACTTGTATGGCCGTGCTCTTCTAACTCTGCCGTAATTTGTTCAGTCGTCCTCGCTGCTGCCTTCGGCTCGTGCTCTTCTAACTCTGACGACGATGATCCCACCCGCATGGTCGTGCTCTGATGCCGCTGCCGCCTTACGGGAGGAGGGAGGGAGGAGAGAGATCGTACCTCGAATTTTCTCAGCAAGGTCGCACGGTTTTGGTGTGACTCCGAATCTATGATTTTGGTAACTTGCATCGATCTCTCTTTTTCCCTCAGAACAAATATTCCCTTTTTTTCATCCTTGTGGGCCTAATGGTTAGTAATGACAGTAATAGTTAGTATCAATAATTAAATAATCGGTAATGACAATAATTAAATTATTGCCATTTGGTGAAAGGGGAGACCACCCTTTCCGTATCAATATATATATTAGCGGAGGGGCCCTGCTTTGCAGGGGCTGGAATGGAATCATCGACTCGTTGATCTAGTCTTTGGCAAAAAACCATTGAATCAGTCAATAACCCATTGACCTGAGCGGTCGAACCATCAACCCGTTAACCCATTCAATGGTTTTTTGCCATTTTTTTTAATTGGGAACCATCCAGGCAAACGGTTCCATTTTATCCTAATCTCGGTCCCTGGCCAAAAATCGTTGAATCGGTCAATGACCCATTGACCCAGACGGTTGAACCATTAACTCGTTCAATGGTTTTTTGTTATTTTTTTTATTTTTTTATTTATTTTTGTTGTCAGAACAAGCCATCCATTCAAACCGAACAGTTGAACCATCGACCTGAAAACTGGTGGCCAGAATAGTTATGTTTTCAGGTCGTATGAGTCACACGCTCGAATGGCAGCTGGGACTTAAACCGACCCCTCTAAATCAAAATTGAAAAAAAAGTAAAAAATTAAAAAAGAGGACCGATATAAGCCAATACACCCTACTGGTGTATCGACTAGTATCGATACTTTGAACCTTGCATACAAGTAACAAATTTTCTATCAATATATATATATATATATATATTTATAATAAAGTAAAACTAAATATAAATTTTAGGGAAATTGTCTAAAACTCACCATGAGTTTTCAACATTTCTCTTAAACTCACCACAACTTTTCATAATGTCTAACACTCACTATGTCAATAAGTTTTTATTTTCCAAAACTCAACTTTTGTTAGCGCACCGTTAATGTTTCTTAACAATGGTGTCCATGTCAGCATAAATAACAATTTTCATGACCAAATTACCCTTGAATGACGAGTTAGAGGAGAAGGGTCTTTTTCAGTTTTCAATTTTCTTGTTTTTTTTTTGCATTTTTAGTGTTTTGTTATAGTTTCCAATGTTTTTTATAATTTATGTTTTTTACATTTTTCTATTTTCTACAATCTATAATTTCCTATATTTTTTGTTATTTATTTGCAATTTCTGTGTTCTTTTATAATTTTTGGTGTTTTTTCAACAATTTGTATTTTCTGAATTTGTTTTTCAATTTCTATAGTTTCTATAGTTTGAAAATAATTTTTTTATTCTGTTTGTAATTTTCCGTGTTTTTATGTATTTTATATTCGAAAATATGTTTTTAACATCGAGTTAGTGACATGGTGAGTTTTAGACATTTTGAAAAGTTGGGGTGAGTTTAAGAGATGTTGAAAACTCATTGTGAGTCTTAGACAAATTTTCTAAATTTTAATTAACATAGGCAATCATGTCCCTATCCCAAGAACAAATAAATATTATTATGCCTGAGTATGTGGGCCAAGATGGGCTAGGCAACCTATAAAATTGTTAATACACTATCAAAATCTAGTGTGAGATCTTATATGTTTTTTGGTTCATTAGGCTACATATTGAGGGTAGCCCATCCCCCATAGCTCTTTAAGATTTAGCTTAGGCAATCTTGCCACATCGTTTCTATGAGTGCAACTTAGGGGATTGGGTCAAGTTGAGGATCAACCAATGCTTAGCCTAAAGTCTTAAACATTGAACTCGAGCTTAGATTAATTTAATTATGACTAAAAATTAATCTATAGATTAATTTAATCATGACTACGACCTAACTTTATATATTTACTAATATTTAAGTAACATTTACAAAGAACTATAACTTTTAATCATTAATAAAGTAAAATAAATAGATAAAACATTAATGGATAATATGCAAAAAATAATTATTTTATTAAGTAATTAGTAGCATTTTATTATTTTTATTAAAAATTATTAATATAATTAATCCAATTAACTAAATTACTAAATTATTTTGTAAAAAGTTACTAAAATAAAGATTAATTATTTTAAATAAATTACATTCTTTCCTTATAATGATTATTAATTTTYGTTATTTCAATTCTTTTTGACAAATCCCGTGCACCGCACGAGTCCCTACTAGTTTTCAATACAAGGTTGCAAAAGTCGATTGAAGCGGTGTGGTCGGGTGGATTTAGACTTACCACCGAAAGATTTTGATCTCACAACTAATACATGCTATGAGGTCGGTGTGAAAAGCGCTATGTGGGAAGGGAATCTATTCCTCGCAAATATGCGCCTCACAGGCACATCCACTGTGCATTGAGAACAACTGCCATGAATAATAACTTATAAATACGGAAGATGTTCTCAATGCATGGTAGGAAGTGCATATAAGGTCGGTGTGAGGCGCCTGTGTGAGGAGCAGATCCGATCTCCTCAACTTGAGGAACGGATCTGCACTCATCCTCATAAATTCCTATCCTATATTCAGGTGGAGTCGGGATCTCCTGCCAACAAAGTTCCCAACTAACACGCTTCCAACTAACATTGTAGATGTGTCCGTACAATCGGTACACACAGCATGGTGGGTCCCAATAATGTGATGGATTCCACATGATGTGCGGACACAGATCGGACACACAGATCATGTTGGAATGTTTGGAGAGGACTCTTATTTGCGCCTCCGGATCTCCTAACCGCGACAATTCTGTCCACACCTACTCGCAAAACACGTGTTCACATCTCCGTCCCACAACGCCCCACAACGTCGAATGGGCCCCAGTGCCTCACGTCACGTGTACGGTGTACTATTACGTATGTAATGCCAGAAAAGTGTTTCAGCTGTTTGATTGATTTTTTCCCTATATCCAGCAAGGCTACCCAGGGAGTGGGATTTGATTTGAAAAATAAATTCTAATCCGATGGTTAAGAGGCTATTCCAAATTGGATTCCGATATTGGACAGCCCCCGAGTACATAAACTTGCACCAAAAAGAGAGTCGCGGTCGCGAAGAATCAAAAAATACTAGTACAAAACCTTTCATTCCCGAACCCGAAGGAGTAAGTCCTTCTGAAATACACAACACAGGCAACACCTTCCACGCATTCAAGGCGGCAACGGAAGTCTTTGATTCTGAATTCCTGGTACGCTATTCTTTCTCTAATTTTCCTGCTATTTCAAAGGAGGGAGAAACGGAAAAGATCTGCACAACTTGAATCGGTGTTGACAGATAACACAGCTGTGACATATTCTTATTTTCTCTCGAATTTGGTTGATTTCTTCCGTTAATTCTATGTTGGTTTAGCTAAATACTAGAAACCCATTAAAAAAAACAAAGAATGAAGAATGAAAGGTTTAATCTTTCTTAATAAAGCTTCTCTATCTATATTAATAGCTTTTACTTGACATTTGTAACGATGGAATCACTTCATTAACCTTATGCAGCGATTGGGTCAAAGTAAAGGAGGGCAAACTTTTCCTTGGATATCTCTCTTTAGCGTTTCAGTTCTTGATCAAGCTTTGAAAATGGTTTCTGGGTTAATCAATGCCAATCCTGTTGTCTATGAAAGAAAAGAGCGTCGAGTTCGGACTGCACCTTTCAGCGCCGATGAATACGCTGTAGAACCCATTGACCAACAAGAGATTTTTGATATCCTTTCAGTTTGATAGCTTTGATGATTCTTATCGATGTTTCTGTACAGTTTATATGCTGTTTATTTTTTCTTGTACGATTTTTCTTGGTGAGTAATATGGACGGTTAGGAGAATTTTTGCTAATTGTCTTATTTCTTACATGGAGAAACATTATATAATTATGGCACTATGCTTTTATCACCAGAATTATAATATGCTCATTGATCAGGGTTGTCTATTAATTATTCTCTGTTTAGGAATTAATTGTTCATTAGTATGGTCTTTGGTAGGCAGGTTGTGGAAATCCTCAAGCCTAGCTTTGGCAAATAGGCTTACTCCCTGAACCACCTTTTTAGTAACTATGGGTTTGTCTTCTGCTTTTCTCCAATTCTCCTGTAGTCTACAACATTTAAGATTTCTCGACTTCTTCAGGAACAGGATTATCAAAAGAAAAAAAAAGAGAGAAAAAATAACTTTTTCAAGAACAGCAAAGAAGCTGTTGAAAAAAAATTCAAGAATTCCTATGTTATTGGTTGTACTTTGTTCAAAAAGTTGAAACACCATCTAAATCAGCGTCCTTCTATTTTGTGCCTTGTTGTGTGTAGTTGTTTCTTGACAACTTTTATTGTTATTTTTTCTTAATAATATATGTAGAATTGAGAATGCTATAGTTTTACTTGTTGATATTGATTTTTGAGATGGCGATGCAGGGTTCACCCAAACACCAGCTAATTAGGTGGCTGAAAATGGGCCTATGCAAGCTGGAATCAGGCCACAAAGCCCTCAGCTTGTTAGTTTGAGGTTTAGCTTAGGTTTACTCAACAATAGAGGCTGGAGAAACCTAAGAAAATCTAAATTATCAATAAAAACAAGTAAACACAGAACTCATATATTGGTAAAAGGTTTTGAAATGGGAGGGCCTACATGATGCTTAAGTAAAACAAAAGGCTGGCTAGAGGTCTAGAGGGGTCATAGGATCTTGAACATTGAAAATGTAGTTTCTAATGGGGTGGTGGGTTTTGACTGCATTTGGGATCAGCAGGTGTTTCCTATAGTGATCAATGAAGTTTTATTCCCGATCTTTTTCTTGGTGGGGTGCTCATAGTGGATCACCTTAATCATAGGAACCTTCATATGCCTAACAGTAACAATGTTCAATGTGCTAGGAATCACAGTAATCTGCTGACCATCTGATATTGTAATTTGATAAAACCTGAAATTTGGTGTTTCTGAAAGATTCTTAAGTCTGAAGGTGAATTTGGAGAGAGAAGAAAGTGACTTAGTTGCTGAATCCTTGGGGCTCTCTACTTCTTCGTGGCCATTATATTATTTAGGTCTCCCGCTAAGTGCCAATCCTCGGTCTATTGACTTTTGGGAAGCAGTATTGGAGAGGATTAATAATAGATTGGTGACCTGGAAGAGAAGTTACATCTCTTTGGGTGGTAGGACTACTTTTATAAAAGCATTGTTAGCTAATCTTTGATTGATTATATGTCAGTGTTTAAAATGCCTCAATTGGTAGTCAAAAGGGTAGAGAAGGTAATGAGGGATTTCTTATGAGATTTTGGGGAGAGTAAGAGGGATCCTTTGATTAAGTGGGAAGTGGTGTATAGCAGGAAGGAGTTAGGTGGATTAAGGATTGGGAATGTGGATAAGAAGAACATGGAATTGCTAGGAAAATGGTTTTGGAGACTGCCAATTGAGAAGGACAATTTGTTGCACAAGGTGGTGGTAAGCATTCATGGGTTGAATGAAAATGAATGGGACGCTAGCCTCTCAACTAGAGCTACTCTTGCTTCTCCTTGGAGATCTATTCTTGGCATCTTCCCTGTGTTCTCTAATTTTTTAATGCATGATGCTTATTCTGGTAATAAAGTGAATTTCTATTACGATCAATGGGTGGGGGAGTCGCCTCCAAAGGATCTTTTCCCTTCTTTGTTCTCTCTTTCATCTTTAAAGGGTAGGTCCATTGCTGATTTTAGTGTACCTTCAAATTCTTCCAAAGGTTCTGATTGGAATCTAGGTTTGAGAAGGAACCTTAGAGAGTCTAAAATTTCTGATGTTTCCAATTTTCTGGGTTTTCTTGATGGGATCTACCTTGACGTTGGGAAAGAAGACAGCTGGGTTTGGAGGCCTCTTGCCTTGGGTCATCTTTGTGTGCCTCTTTCTTCAAAGCCCCAATTCTTTCTCTTCAGGGTTAACCTCCTTTTCTTATAAAGGAGGTTCAGTGTAAGACTATTCTCCCAAGGTTGGAGCTCTTTGTTGGGAAGTATATCATGAATACATCAATACATGGAGCTTATGTTAAGGGCCCGGGAATAGGATCTCGTCACAGGTCGGTTAACGGGGAAAACTTCTTGTTTTCCCTTGTTTCTCCCTTTTTTGAGGAACCTATCTTTAGCGCCTTTAGGGTGATTTGTTAAAGAGATCACCAACTCTCCTCTGCTCTTTTTTGACTGAAATTTTGGATGGATTTATTGAATAACATCTGCTCCTTAAATAGGAATTACAAGAGTCCTTCTTAAGGAAACTTTCTAAAAAAGAACTTTCTAAAAAACATTAAGAGACTTTCTAAAAACATAAGGAAACTTTCTAAAAGAAACATTAAGAAACTTTATAAAAGACCTAGGAAATAATAATGCTACTGCCTAATTAATAGGAACACTGAATCTAGCTAAGAGATAAGATAGGAACACTGAATCTAGCTAAGAGATAAGATAGGAACACTGAATCTAGCTAAGAGATAAGATAGGAACACTAAATCTAGATAAGATAAGATAGGAACACTG